TACCTGAATTCTTTACCGTCACAGTATTGGTTAGCAGGGCAAGCAATTCTAATATTTAAATCTTCTAATAAAGATTTAATAAAGAAAAAGATGTGAAGGAGGATAATGAAACCAATCAAAGTGTAAACTGTTAAGTAAGGTGTTCATCTTGACTGTCACCAGGTATTCTGGTTTGGTTAAGGTAATACTAAAACACAAGAAGCACTTGTGTTATGCTACATTAAACCAGGATTTTAGCAAGACACAAGATTTTCCTCTTTCCTTCTCTCATATAACTGGTTGGAGACAAAATCTATTCCTAGCACTGCAGCAAAGGGAAGTATCTTCAAATCTAATTGTGTGATAAAAAGAAGGGTCCAGCATTAATCCTGCACAGGGTCCCATAGCCCAATGCAGGGTGTATTTCTACCTTGTAGGATGTCTTTAAGAGAAAGCGTAAAAAAAAATCACACTGAACATTACCTGTGGTTTTTATTCCCTTTCCTACTGTAAAGTCTTTGTGGTGAACACACTTTCTTCACTCTACCATGTACACATTTAATAACCTTCCACCTGACTCTGACAGGCTTCCTGCTAACAGGCAGGCACTCTTTGCGTACCCCCAAGCCTTAGCTTCAGGCTAAACAGGCATTTCTGAAGAAAAAGAAGAAGAAAAACAAGGGCAGCAGCACAAACATCAGTTTCTGTCTCCTCTGTCTTTTACTACAATTTTGTCTAGAGGGAAACACAGGCAGAGCAAATTAGGAGGCATGCTGAGGCCTGGCAAACCAGCTTTGTAAAATACCAATTTTAGTGACTTGCTGAATATTGGATGAGACCTGTAGTGCAGAAACCTTGGCTAGCTAATTTTTCTATTATTTTATTTTTTATTGAAGAGAATACTTTCAAAAATATGAATATGAATAGTTTTGGAAATGAAATTGATACACGAGCAAAGGGTACAGTGATGTTCAAGATAAAGTTGAAATTGCAGTCATGCTAACATCCTCTCAAAGAACTATACTCACTAGATCCTTTCTCAGAAACACAGAAACATGATGGGTGGTGTGTGAAGGGAACAAGGGTATTTGGGATGCTGAAGTTTATTCTTTTCAGCTCAGTGGATGCCTCGCAATTGTCATGAATTCCCTTCACAGAGTCTTTATTCATGGCCTTCAGACAAGGGTTGACAGACAGTCTTCTCATTATTCTTTCCACTGGCAAAGCAAAATTTCTGAATACAAACTATATCCCCTTTAAATTTCTAAATTTTATTTTATTTTATTTTTTTTCCCTGACCTTTATAGGGAGTTTTATGTTTCTTATACAGTAGAGGGCTATACAGAAAATCATGTCTCTTCCCTGGGAGTGTGAAGCAGTCTCCTGGGTTTGGTTGGGACAGAGTTAATTCTCTCAATGGAAGCTGGTATTGCACTGTGTTTTGGATTTAGGATGGAAATAGTGTGGATAACACACCAATGTTGCTAAACAACTCAGTCTAGGACTTTTCAGCTTCTCACAGTGCCCTGCCAGCAAGGAGGCTGGGGGTGTGCCAGGAGCTGGGAGGGGACACAGCCAGGACAACTGACCCAGACTGACCAAAGGGCTATTCTGTACCATCAGATGTCATGCTCAGCAGTAAAAACTGAGGGGGAACTGGCCAGGGCATGGCTGCTGTTTTTCTTTTCTTTGTGTGCTTTTTTTTTTTTTTTTTTCTTTCTTTCTTTCTTATTAAACTGTCCTCCTCTCTCTCAATCTGCGAGTTCTCACACTTTTACCTTTTTCGATTCTCTCCCTCATCCCATTGTGGGGGAGTGAGCAAGCAGCTGTGTGGTGTTCAGCTGCCTGCTGGGTTAAACCACAACAGGCAGTCACAAGGGAAATAATTTTTATTAACTTTAGCCCTGGGAAAACTCTGGAAGAAATGTGAAAATGCAGTCTGTTCTGTGCAGGCAGAAATTTTGAGATCCAAGCATGCTTGGTACAGGACACCATAAAAATACAGTTATCCAGTTGCAACAAGCACCTACTCTAGGTGTTTTTCAGACATTTTAACTTGGTAAAATTTGGGTCTTATTGGCCAAAAAGCTAAGAAAAAACACTCTCAAGGACCAAGGTGTATTTGGTCCCTTTCAGGACCCAACTCTGCCACAGAAAATAGAGTGAGATTTCTTAGTTAAACCCAAACTAGTATTTTAATTCTTGAATAGTTTTAGTTGAATCTTTTGAAATAAATAGCTAGTACAGGCACAGGAATCTTTAACTCAACTATGTAATTTAGGTAAACTTGTAAATGATTGAAAACAAAATCTTTTGAGGGAAAATAGCACCAAGTAAAGGTATCCCTCTACTCAAACATTGAAGATGAAATTGTCACCTTACTTTCACCAATTAAAAACTGATGTAATTGCAGTTAGTTAGATTTTACATTAAATAAGTGAAAGCAAAATCTGATCATGGTAATTCAAACGGTTTTAAGTGATTTGTCAAGATGAACCAACTGAGATGATTTTATATCTGTTATACTTTTACATAGCAGTGAGATTTTTCTTAATTGAGAATTCTTAAGATGCAAAAGTCATGTTTAAGAAATTAATACATACATATGTGTGTGTGTGCCTGTACATTCACAAATAATATAGTGTTCTACTATTATATTACCAATGCATCAATAATCTACACAGTAAGAAGAAGAAGAAAAAAAAAAAGGACAAAATAATAATAATAGAAACAAAACACACATCACTTTCTGTTCCATTTCCCAGAAGAAAAGTTCTGATGTGCAAAATACATCATAGACAATAGCGGGAGAAAGAAAAATATTTTAAAGTTGTCTAAGAGGTAGTATGAAAGTCCTCCATTTTGTGATTAAATTTAAGTTTAGGAGTGACATTTGATAGATTTTGAAACTCTGCCCAATCAGACTGGTTAAGTTTGTGAAAGGTTGCTTGTCAAATGCTAGTCAGTGATACAAAAACAGACAGCCAGTAAATCATCCTTGCAATATAAACATCAACTAAAAATAAATAAATGTCTGCAGCAGAATGTCAGCTTGATTCTCCATTAAGATGAATCTTACAAACAATGAAGCAAACTCAATAATGATGACAATAAATCTGTAAAAAGAGACAGTCACTCATGGCCAAATTAGGAAAGTGTTAGTAAAACTAGGGAACTGAATAGTCAACAGGAAAATAAATAAACAACTATATAAAAGACAAAAAAAAAAAAAAAAAAAAAAAAAAGCTGACCTTTATAATAAACATTAATGCAACTTATTTTTTTTTTCTAACTATTTTTTATAAGTTCTCACCGGTACTTGTTCTTCATGGTGTTAATCACTATAAACGTGTATACTGAAAGCAGCTCCCGCCAAACTGGTGTGCCTTTAGTTTAATCTGAAAAAAACATACAGAGGACAAAAGGACACAGGAAAGAAAAATAGAAATGCAATAGGTTAAATGAGAGGAAATCAGGTATAAAGAAAATAGGCAGTGAACAAATTACACTCACTAGTACAGAGTTCCTAAGCTTTACAAGTTTTACTGAATCTTTCCACTAGGCTTAAAAATGAATGAGAAAAAAAAAAATGTAATTAAGATAGATGATAGGTTATATAGGTTAATGCACAGCATCTAAACTTTACCTAGAGCAAGTTATTGGCTGTGTTATTTAATTTAAAAATTAATTAAATGGGAAAATTATATGGAAAACACAAAAGAGAAAAACAGGAAATGAAGGACCAGAAGCCACATCGCTAGAAGGGAGATGGACGGTGTGCATTAGGGCAGCACAACCAGCAGCAGGGGCAGAGAAAGTGAAGGGCAGTGAGAATCATGCAGTGATGCTGAAACCTGCAGTGAGACTGAGCACAGGCAGCAGCGGGAGGCAGACAGCAAAGGGGAGGAAAAGGTCAGAGATGATAGAGACAAAAATTCCCTGGATGCTTTAAATTCCTACATTTTATTTTATTTTATTTTATTTTATTTTATTTTATTTTATTTTATTTTATTTTATTTTTCAGTCTACATTGAAGCAAAGATGTGAAGACAAGCAGCTTGGAATGTGCCAAGCATCCATTGCTCATACTGAATTTATTTAAAATCCCACGTACTCTCTGCTTTCAGAATCAGGCTTCTGATGTCTAAATGGCTAACCAGACTTACGTTTAGGAAGGAGGGCTTGGTAACTTGGTGGCTGAACTTTGCAGATCCTGTCCTTCTTTGAAACCTCATGGAAGTGAGATATGGAATCCATTATGAAGCTATGACCTACAAACCGTAATAATGTGCAAAATGGAAGGAATAGAAACCTAAGCACAGACTTCCAACAGACCAGCACTTTACTAGTGGGTACAGTGGTGTCTGCTGAATCTTCAGAGGCCCCTGTTACCACACAGACTGGAGTACATTTCTGCTAGCCTCTTTATCTAAGGTGTACCATTCCTGTATGAAAGGTCTTGTGCAGGAGATAATGACTCTGCATACACAAATACAAATGCAGGATTCAGCCCTGGTTTTGTTTCCCCCTTGTTTTTTGTTTATTTATTTTTTTGTTTGTTTTTCCCTCTCAAATTGGTGGAATATGAAATTCACATTTGATATCCATGGGCAGGGACACCTGCAGAGCCCTTGAAAGACATATAACGATGTCTTTTGTTGTTGTTGTTGTTGTTGTTGTTGTTTGTTTGCTTGTTTGTTTCAATTTGAAAAAGCAAACAAGCTTTTCTCAAATATTCCCTTTACAGCCAACACAACGTTTGATTTTCCTGAGAACTCCCCAAACGTGCAGAGACATTACACAGAGTCGGTTTTATTTTTTTTATTTCTTGTCATATCCTCCCCCCTTATCCCCTACCCCCAAAGTCTCTCCTGCCTCTCCCCAAAGTCAAACGTTTTCGGGCCGTGTTCCACCACCACCACCACAGTCCAGGACCTTCCACCCGCGGTGCCCACCGCCGCCAAGGCCCCCCCCGAGGTCGCCTCACGGGGCTCCCCCGGGGCGGGCCGGGGCTGCGGGCGGAGCCTCCCGCCGCCAATGCAGGCCGCGGGGCCGCGGCGCCTGCGCTGCTCCGGCTGCGAGCCCCGTCCCCGGCCTGTCCTCCGCTCCCCTCTCGGGTCCCGTCCTGCCGAGCCATGTGGAGCCGCTACCGGGCGGCCGGGGGGCTGCTGAGCCGCGGCCGGTGAGGGTGGGGAAGGGGCTGGGGGGAGCGGGAGGGAGGCAGGGAGGCTCCGGCTGCGGTCGCGTTTTCAGCGGCTTGCCCTCCGCTGCCCTCACCCAGCACGGGAAAAGGCCTCGCTCCCTGGTGCGGCGCTGCCATCAGACCGTGTTTGCTTTAACGAGAAGTGTTGTTTCAGGTCTCTGAATCAGAAGTCGTGGAGGTGGAAGAGCGTTTCTGCCAACGAAAGAGCGCTGCAGTACAGGGTAGGAGAGCAAATCCATGGCTTCACTGTGCGTCAGGTAGGCATTGCCTTTTCTTTGCGTTTTCTCTTGGTGGGGAAGTGTCAGAACGAGGCCAAATGCCTGCACACAGTGCAAATATTTACATAGATACTTTGGTTAGTCTTTAAAAACTGATACATTAGTTTCTTATATTTATCCGTCTGCAACTAAGTTCTCTGGATATCATTAACACGTGATCCTGTAGGGACTTTGTTGTCATAGAGTAAATGATGCGCTGTGGGAGTATGTGTGTCTGTCACAAATGTTAAATGTTGTGTGGTCTTCTAAAAGTATGGGCAGATAATTGATGCTTCACCGTGTGTTGTTTCATAGAAGACATTAAAGTAAATTTTATTCCCAGAGTTGCTTTTGATTGCTTTGTTAACAACTTGCAATAGCAATAATATGTGGAATTTCTTTTTACTTCTTTTAAAGAAAAAAAGCAGAAGCAGAGAACTAAGGTAATCTGCAAACAGTTATTGGTAGCAACAGAATTAGTAGTAGAATTGAGTTCCTTGATTCCTTGGTTTTTCTTTTGCTGCCCTATCCACTGATACTTGATATGCCTTCTCTTTTAATTTACTATCAGATTTTTTTTGTCTTAATATCTATACTGGAAGGGTATAGTTCTCTGATTTTAGTATAGTTTGTTTTTATGTTTTTATTTTGTAAATATTTGTTTTTATTTATATACAGTTGTTTGTTTTTTTTCCATAAAACACAGAAACAAAGACCTTATGTAATACTGTATATGGTGTCATTATGTACAGGATCAACAAACTGATCATTGCTATATTATTCTTAATTTATTTGATCTTATGGCAGACACACTCTAATGTAGATGTTTTCTTCTAATACAGGTGACAGCTGTTCCTGAGTTGTTCCTGACTGCAGTCAAGCTTAGTCATGACAGTACAGGAGCCAAATATTTACATGTGGCTCGAGAGGACTCCAATAATCTATTCAGGTAAAACATTAGTGTATGTATGTATAGCATGTTCCATCTCAGCATCAATTTGTGGTTTATAAACTGTAATTCAACTTTGTAACTGGATTTTTCTGTAATAACAAAGATAGTACTTACTTTGTGGAACTTCCTTAGAATTATTCACATTGGAACAAATGTTTTGAGAGCTGTTGTTAAATATGCTGCTCAAAACAGGGTCAGCATTTAACTCAAATGAAGTTCTTCTGAAATTTATTCAGGTAGGCCTTGAAAACTTCCAAAAGCAGAGATTCTAAAACCTCTGTGGGTAACTTCTTATCAGTGTTTGACTGACCATATGTGAATTATTTTTTTTTCTTCAATACCAAGTTGGAACCTTCTTTGTTTTTATTTATGAACGTCATTACTTGGCCTTCTCTTGTGTGTACCTATGGAAAGAATCTGTCTCCATCAGAACCTCCTTGTATGTATTGGAAGGCAGCAATTAGACAAGATTCCCATGTCTGCTGGTACAGTCAGTCTACCAGATTAGTTGGGCACAGGTGGTCCTTGGTGAAGCCATAATTAGAAACAGCCTTGGTTGGCTGTCTCTAATCACCTTCTTCTTTTCTGTCTGATTCCACGTAACTTCTGGGAGGATCTCTTTTATGGTTTTACCAAGCACTGAGGTGAGATTGACTGGTCGGTAGCTCCCGGATAGTTCCTTATTACTATTTTTTTAAAGAGTAATATTTTTCCTTATTTCTCTTTAAAAATGGGTATGATACTTCCCTTTCTTGAAGTGTGATGGACTTTGCCTGTTTGCTCTGACTTTCCAAATGTGGTGGAGAGTGGCTTAACAATGGTCTGCCAGTTTCCTTCAGGACACTGGGATGTTTCTTATCATGTCCTTTGGAGTCATGGATGTTCAGGTTCCTCTGAACTTGATCTTCTCTTACGATTTCCTGCCTTGAGGTGTGGGAACATGAGAGGTGTGGGAAGAGTGCTTGCCCTTGAAAAGAGGCAAAAAAAAAATTGAGTACCTTAACCTTCTCTATATCAGTTGCCACTAATTCTCCTGTCTTATCAGTGAGGTGCATTTTCTTTAGTCTTGTTCTGATCAGTGGGCTTGTATTCTTCATGTTCCTTGCCAAATTCAGCTCCAGTTGTGCTTTAGCTTTCTTTATTTAACCCCTACGTTCCTGACCAGCATCACTATATTATTCCCAGGGTATGTGTTCCTGCTTCCACTGCCTATGCATTTCTATCTTCAGTTTGATTGGGAGGTCCTTCCTCAGCCATGCAGGTCTTCTGCCTTCCCTTCCTGATTTCCAACACATGGAAACTGAGAGCTCTTGCACTCCAAGAAAGAGTGCCTTTAGGAGCTGCCATTTTTTTCTGCTCTTTTTATCCCTGAGGAAGTTTTCCCAGGTAGTCCCATCCATTAATTCCTTAAACAATTGAGAACTTGCTCTCCTAAAATTCAGGGTCTTGTGTTTACTGGACTAGCCCATATCCCTCAAGATCGTAAATTCCACCAGATGTAATCACTGTAGCCCAGGCTGTCACCGTTCTTGACCTGTCCAATTAGTTCACCTGTGTTGGTAAGCAGTGGGTCAAATAATGTTGCCCTGTGGTCATGCTGTCTGTCACCTGGATTAAGAAGTTATCTTCAGTGCACTCCAAGAATTTCCTGAGCTGCTTACAGCTTGCTGTGGTGCTTTTCCAGATACCAGGTTGATTGAAGTCCCTCAGCAGGATCCTAAGAGCAGGATGCTTCCTGTACTTTAAGTAAGAGTGCTTCATCAGCATCCCCCCCTTGATCAGATAGCCTGTAATAAACACCAGCCATGAGGTTTCCTTTGTTGGTTTGGCCTCTGATTTTTCACCCATAAGCTGACAACCTGTTTTTCATTGCTGTTTTTCAAAGGCAGTTCCATGCATTCAATTTTTTTTTTTTTTTCATAAAGGGCAACCCCCATACATCTCCTTTTCTGCCTGATGCTTTTGAATAGTTTATAGCCATTGATTGTGTGCTTCAGTTGTCCCACCAAGTTTTAGCAATAGCGATTAGATCAGTTTTCCATCTGTGCAATGAACTCTACCACAACCACTCTCTCAATCTCCCTCCTCAAAGAAAAAGGAGGAGACAATACAATGGAAAGAGCTCAAGGGTTGAGATAAGGGCAGAGAGATCACTCACCAATTACTGTCTTGGGCAAAACAGACTTAGCATAGGGAGATGGATGTAACTTACTGCCTATCACTAGCAATATAAAACAGTGAGAAACTAAAAGCAAAGTAAAAACACCTTTTTATGCCCATCCGCCCTGTTCTATGTCCTCCCCCTCAGCCATGCAGGGGAATGGGAAATGGGGGCTGCAGTCAGTGCTCCTTCACAGTCTCTCCCTCCCGGTCCCTCTCTGTCCCTGCTCCACGAAGCGTCCCTCCCGTGGGATGCCATCCTTCCCAAACTGAGCCTGCAGGGGCTGCCCACTAGTAGCAGCTCTTCAAGAACTGCTCCCACACAGCTCTGTCCCACGGGGTCCATCCCCCAGGAGCAAACTGCTCCAGCACAGGTCACCCACAGGCGGCAGCTCCCCCCAGACCTCCTGATCCTGCGTGGGCTCCTCTCCACGGGCTGCAGCTCCGGCCCGCGGCCTGCTCCTGCGGGGGCTCTCCATGGGCCGCAGCCTCCTCCAGGCCACATCCACCTGCTCCACCGGGGGCTCCTCCACCCATGGGGGGGCTGCAGCGTGGAGATCTGCTCCATGGGGGACCCATGGGCTGCAGGGGGACAGCCTGCTCCACCAGGGGCCTCTCCACAGGCCACAGGGGAACTTGTGCTGTGTACCTGGAGCACCTCCTGCCCTGCTTCTGCACTGACTTTGGGGGCTGCAGGGCTGCTTCTCACTCCCCTCTCCCAGCTGCTGTTAACACAGCAATTCTTTTTTCCCTTCAATCTGCTCTCACAGAGACCCAACCAACATCACCCATGGCTTGGCTCTGGCCAGCAGCAGGTCCCTTTGGAGCTGGCTGGAGGTGGCTCTGATCTGACATGGGGCAGCTGCTGGACTCTTCTCACAGAAGCCTCCACTGCTACCAAACCCTTGATGCATAAACCCAATACAAAAGAGAGAGAGAAAAAAAAAAAAAAAACAACAACAACTTTTTTTCAGCTACTAAACTGAGTAGTAGGGGGGAAAGACTGTATTTCCCAGTAGGATGTAAATCTAACTGTTAATATTGGCTACTGTTGTAGGTTTATGAATTACACATACACATTACACTTTAGTTACACAGGTTGTCTGCTGAGCCACTTCTGGCTCTAGTGCTTAGTTACGTGCTGAAATATTTTGCACTACTTACAGAAATAGAAGTGCAGAAGTGTTACCCCTTCTAGCAGAGATGGCTGAGCACTCAACTCAGTCTTTCATAAAAGCTCTCTAACTCTGCATCCCACTGTAAATCAGGTTAATTACTAGACAGTGATAATATTTCCATAAATCTAAGCTGCAGATGGGAGGTGGGTGCACTTCTCATCGCAAATAAATGTGTTCATCTCTGTGCTGTCTGTCTTACAGTATACAGTTCCGAACCACTCCAATGGACAGCACTGGGGTCCCGCATATCCTTGAGCACACTGTGTTATGTGGTTCTCAAAAGTATCCTTGCAGAGATCCATTCTTTAAAATGTTAAACAGATCGTTGTCCACTTTCATGAATGCATTCACAGGTGAGCTTGAAGTAAATAATACTGTTTAAAATGAATATGGTTTTACTGCAGCAGAACTTTCTGTTGGCTCTTTATTTTCCCTTTGGAGAGCCATTATTAAGTGTGAATGAGAGACTCAAAATTTTGAGTGAGGGATTAAGAAACTAACAAGGCAAGGCAACAAAGTAAATCTTGTTTGTTTGGCAGTTACAAAGGCCCAGTAGAGCTGGATTTTTATAGTATACTGTAAGACATTTAAATTTTTGTATGTTTGGCCAGCACAAAGTTTTCTTTACAAATAATTACTTCATATGTCAATTAGTAAATTTCTTCTCTTCCCGTTATTTATATTGATGAGTGATTAAATACAAATGAGAGTAAAATGCATCTCAGTTGTTGAAGTTCTGTTCTTTTACCTTTATTTGTACACAGCTAGTGATTACACACTCTATCCATTTTCAACACAAAATCCCAAGGATTTCCAGAATCTCCTGTCAGTGTACTTGGATGCAGCTTTTTTCCCATGTTTGCGACAACTAGATTTCTGGTAAGTTGTGGAGATGTGTGCAAACTTTAGATCTAAAAAAGATTTTAAGACCAAAAAAACAAAAACCTCTTGAACTCTCAAGCAACATTTCCCGTATTAATGTTTTTCAGGCAAGAAGGCTGGAGGTTAGAACACGAGAACCCAACTGATCCTCAGACACCTTTAGTCTTCAAAGGAGTTGTTTTTAATGAAATGAAAGGGGCATTTGTAAGTTTTGTGCGTTTTTTTTTTCTTTAGATTTTCTACACAGCTTCAATTACAGGTTATCAACAGCTTTATTGCACCAGAGATTTCTGTTCTTCCTTTATGAATCTTAAGTCTTAGTAAAGACAAAACTGTTACTTGTTTATTCTTGAAGGTAGCCCATTGAAAGCTTGTTTGCTTATAGAAGAGAACCTTGTTAATGGGTGTTATTGTAGAATTTTTCTTTTAAGTTGACATAACATAGCTAGTTTTATGAAAGTACATGGGTATCAAAATACTGCATAACAAAATGCTTATGTAGGGAGTTCTTGTGTAAGTTAGGACTGAGGTCTTATTGAGCACCTTTTATTTTTAAAATATTTTGATGACTTGTACTAAAATGTGGTGTTTTCCTCTTAAGACAGATAATGAGAGGATATTTGCACAGCACCTGCAAAATAAACTCCTTCCTGATCACACTTATGGTGTAGTATCTGGTGGGGATCCGTTAAGTATTCCTGATCTTACATGGGAGCAGCTCAAACAGTTCCATGCCACACATTATCATCCAAGCAACTCCAGGTATCTGAAATTTGAGACTAATTTACTAGGTTATATAGTGACTTAACACTGTATTTTTATCTCTGTGAGGGAGCAGTATTTCTGTACTCGTTGTCAGCAATATAACCTGTACCCTCCAGCTTCAAAGCAAGGAATTTGCTTTAGGAAGAAAAGTAAAAGGTGAATTGGAAGTAGGGACTTCTGAAGATAGGTGGCTGATGGGTGTTTTCTAGACTCCTTTTGCCTGCTGGGTTATGAGGATTTGTTTGAAAGTTTTTATTTACAGATAATTTACCATGAACTTCTGTGGTTTGGGGGAAAATTGAACAAATACAAAAATACAAAATGGTAAGTATTTGGAAGTAATGGTGGAAAGTTACCGTACAAGCAGCACAGATGAGTCTAGGGGTTCCTAATCCCCTTCAAATCAACCCAGATTAAAAGTTAAAAGACATTACAAATGCATGGCTCTTTATTTGCTCCTGAATCACATTACTGTATTGGGCTCTAAATAACAGATATCCATTTGAGTTACACTAATTCTGTTGGTACTGATAAGGTCATTAAGCTAAAAGTCAACTTACTTGAAATATGAGGTTGATGTGGAGGGAAATCTATAGTATTCTTTCTTCTGTACTAATTTTGTGGTAAATCTCTGCTGAGCCAGAGATTTAGTTTAGTCTGATCATTTATGGAGCATCAGCTTATGACGTGATCGTGAATTTATCATCCTTTATTTTCTCATCATCTCAAGTATTCATTTGTACCTGAGTTTAGATTTTAATCAAGTAATTAATTAATTAACCTGAGATATACCCCATGCTCATATTTAATCCAATGGAAGTTAGCAGTGCTTCTCGTAGGTACGACACTGTACTTCAGCAGTGACCTGCAGAATCCAGCCCTGTTTTATGGATAAATTGAGAAACATATTATAGTATTTTATACATTGTGTGAGGACCATAAGAATCTTGTCTTCTGAAACATTAGAGCGTTCGGATTCTGGTTTCAATTACTAGTATTTTTTTGTTACAGATTTTGTATATTGCTGCAACTAACTGAATTCTTGTCTTGTGGACGCCAAAGAATAAAACAGAAGCTGAAAAGCGTTGTGAAATTTTACCAGCAGATCTGTGGGTTTTATGTATGTGGCAAAATGTGGTGGGTCTTAGAACTACAGACCTTACAAAGCATGTTGTCTTCTAGATGTAACTGAATCACTGGAAGTTGCATGAAATTCAGAAGAAAAAAAAAACACCATGAATGAATAAATATGTATAAAAGCTGTTCCTACAGAGTTCCTGTAAAATCTGATGTTTAATATCAAACTTCCATTTCAAATGCAGATTCTTCACTTATGGTAATTTTCCACTGGAGCAACATTTGAAACAAATTCATGAGGAAGCATTGGTAAAATTTGAAAGAATTGAATCGAAGACTGACATCCCAAAACAGAAACTCTGGGAAAAGCCTGTGAGTATTTAAAACAAATAAAGAATACTTTTTAAAGAAGTGCATGTCCAATCTTGGAGTTGCAGAAACTGAGTATAACTGAACCCAACCTGCTGGGGTTATTTTGTTTGTTTAAAAGTGTGTTCGTGTGTTTAAAAAAAAAAAAAAAAAAAAAAAAAACACATCATTGTATACTTTTCAATTTCAGTAATAACTGCATACAGTTGTTTGTTTTCAGTATTCAAATGTACTTGGCATTTGGAGAACAAGCATTTATCAATTTAAAGCATCTGGAGCTAGGTATTAAAAAAATATATTGATACTTATATTGTCAGCAAATGTACCCAGCAAATTTTACCTAAGATTCCAAACATTGCTGTTAAAATAACTTTTCCACTTTATTTATTTATATTCATTTCCTCACTGGCTTGTGCAGGAGCTTAAGCTTTTCTTTGAAATCAAGCTTAGAGTGTTAACTATGGCCGGATTTTCTTAATCCTCTTCTCTATTTCTGCACTTGTAAAAAGTGGAAATACCACTCTTAGTTTTTCAAGATATACTGAGTAAATATCACGCGTTTATGTATTTATCTATGAGAATCTGTGAAATTATTTTAAATCTTTGGAAAGAAGATGCTATGAAGATACAGTCATTTTTTTATTTGTAAGTCTGATACAAGTTTAGTCTGCATCATATGTACTTATTATACTTTACAGCGAGAACACCGTGTAACATGTGGCTTAGACTCATTTGCTGCCGATCCTTCCAAGCAGACGACTGTCAGTGTCAGCTACTTGTTGACAGAGTAAGTCTATGAAAATAAAATTTTCAATCAAAAACGTGTTTTAGAACTTTCAGGAAGGTGCAGGTGTACATAACTGTGCCCCCATCCCTCTTTGCAAATGCCACCTTCAAGTTAAATAATACTGTGGGTTAATACAAAACCTACTTTAGTAAGTGAAAATTGAAGTACCAGGTAAAACATGTCTTGTCCTTTTCTTTAGCACGTAGAGCTGAGGATAATCAGCCATTATATTACAAAACTATTCAGTGGATTAGGCTTTGGGAACACTGGCTTCTTGTCTTTGAACTGCCTTCAATGTGCAAGCTTTTTCGTATGACCCAAATTCTAACTTCATCCATCCTCATAGCCTAATTGAACTTGCAGAGCTTTACTGCTTGTTATGATGAGTAATTCAAGTTTATGAACACATAACTCAACATAAACCCGGAACTCTCTTGGATTCCTGAATTTTGGTCTGGTGTTCATAGGAGGCAGTTATTTTTCCCTTGCCTCCCCTGTATTTTTTAGTAGAAGTAATTATTCAGAAATTAACTCGGTGTTTGGTGTGACGTATTTCGAGCTTGATGTTTTTTAAGAACTAATAATTTTTCTTCAGTATTACAGACACCTTTGAAACTTTCACACTAAGCCTGTTGTCTTCACTGTTGGTTGATGGACCAAATTCTCCTTTTTACAAAGCTTTAATCGAGTCTGGTGTTGGTACAGATTTTTCTCCTGATGTTGGGTAAGTGTTACAAGTTTCATTTCATCCCTATAAGCAGTATTAGAAGAGTTACAAATGAATATCAAGTTGGGAAAAGTCATCTCTCATGCAGGCAACGTAGGCCACACCAGAAGAATCTTAAAGGTTTTTCCTGATGAACTACTATCAAGTGTAATTTTTGGCTTGTCAAAATAATTCAGTGGAAGCTGTGTTAGTGATAACAGTAGTACAGCTTTGTTTAATGTTTATCAGCAAGAAAAATGCATGGATAAGAACACGCTATGCTTTCAGTGTGCTAGTTGCTTGTAGTGTTTTGATCTTGTGCGTTTAGTATTACTCAGAAAACTGTTAAAATTAGTTCTTGCTCTTACTGTGTACTGTTACATTTGCTCTTTTGCTTTAATCCTGTGATTTAGTAGTAGGTAGGTTTGGCATAAATGTGCTTCTGTACAATTAGGTGATATTAATTTGCCATTGCCAGAATATGAAAGGATATGTCTGCCAGTATTTATTTGTTCAAACTGCAGCTTTTGCAAACAGTCTTCTGAGCTAGCTCTCCACGGCAAACTAGATGGGCGGATTCTCTTAACCTAACTGTAGGCTCGGTTGCTCATTATAGTTGGACTTCAGTGTCGGCAGAAAGAAAGAATCACTTTCAGGGCGTGATTCATCTGACTAATTTTAAAATTGAGGATGACAAAAATCATGCTTTGTCTCTGCTGTCTCAGATGTTTGAGTGGGAAACCTAAACCTACTAATCTAGTATGTTTGTAATGCCTTGGGGTACTCTACATGGCTTGAAATCGTCTCTATTGGGAATGCTACAAGACCTGTGTCATGAATTCCAATGCTATGTACACATCTTAATACCACAGGGCATTATATCTGTTTTCAACCAGTGAAGTAGTGATTCAGTTGTTTTATAGTTCCTCAGTTAAGCCTTTTTTGGGCTAACTATACTAATTTGGTGTTGATTTATGTAGTGAATTGTCTAATATGCATTGATAACTCTGCAGATGAATCAATATAAAGACAAATTTTGAGTCCACAGATCCTTAATTTGATATCTGAGTCTGTCATTGAACTCTTCTGTAGTTTTTAGATGTGGAATAGTGAATGCTTAGCATTGAACACCTATTGCTTTTTGTTTGTTGTCCTTGGTCTGAACAGCTACATGCTGCATATTTCTGCAAGTATCAGTTTGTCTCTCTATAGTGGAGTTCTTATTGTTAACTATGTCTGACAGGGCTACAACATTTTGTTGTTGTTGTTTGGTAGTATTGAAAATGATTGCAGCAAACACAGAACACTTCACCTTCACCATTTGCTCTGCAAATAATGCTTTAAATGTACTAATTTAAAAGTTCTGTTTCACTAACTTGCTTAAGTAGAATATATGTGTTTGGCTTTAAAGGCAGCTACAATTTTTGCTTAACAAAAGAGACTTTATTACCTGAAAGTACTTACTGATGAACTGGAAGATGAACAGAAAAGAATAGAGCTTTTCTTCTGTAGCTGTTTGTCTTTCTCTAATGTAATATGCCATATGTTTTCCTAACAGTGTGCTACTACTACTTAAATTGAACAAAAAGCGCTTTAAAGTTCAGTTTCTTGTCTCTTTGGTAATTATTATTCTGTCTGGCTTTTAAAGTCCTCTTTTTATACGAAAATGATGAATGAGTGTGTTTCCCCTTCTACCTTTGCTATAAAGTTTAATGCTGAAGTTCTAGTACTTGTAACTGAGTTTAATATTTTGTTCCAGGTTTAATAGCTCAACAAGAGAAGCCTATTTCAGTGTGGGTCTACAGGGTATTGCTGAGACAGACATTGATACTGTGAAACAGATTATTGCTGAAACAGTTGATGAAGTTATTGCGTGAGTAATATTAAATTTATAAGAATACTGTTAGTTCTCTCATACAGTCTTTTACAATTAGATATTTATAGTAATATAATAATATATTAATGTATATATAATAATACAGGCACACATATTAATATACCTTAAAATTGTAGGTACGTTTAAAAAAAAAAAACTTTCTTCAGTACTAAATGCACTGAAGAAAGTTATATTGCTCAATATTCTTAAAATTTTTATCTGCTACTTCCTCTGTTGTAGCATATTCATCAGCATAACCTTCAGGAGTTTAATGACATTAGTGCTGTTTTACTAAATGACACAGCATGATAAGATTATTTCATATCGATTTTAATTCAGTATGGAGGTCATCATGTTGTAATGCTTCCTTTATTGATGTTATAATTCATTTTCATAATTTTACTTAGAGTGATTAGTACTAATGGATATGATTTCCTTTTCTCTTTACCCCTTCCCAAAGGAAAGGATTTGAGGAAGACAGGATTGAAGCTCTACTGCACAAAATTGAAATCCAGCTGAAACATCAGTCTACAAGTTTTGGACTTGCCCTGACATCAGTAAGTCTGTGTGTGTGTGCTTGTGTATGTTGTGCGTGGTTTATTTTTGTTTGTTTCAGACATAGGCGTGGAATTTGCATTCTACACATTAATAAAATATGGGGTCATTTTGTAGGCTCTTAATACCTAAAACTTTTCATTTTATGGCTTTTTTTCTCTTTGTCATCTCTTATACATCTCTCCATTATTTTCAGTAGTCTTCTAACCATTGCTAGACTCTACTCTGTAGGACTTAATCAGGCAGTTAGCCTGTTGTCTTTGGCTGAATAGTAGCTTTGATTGCAGTAGGACTGATTACTTCTGTAAGAGAGGAATGTCATGCTGGCTCTTGGTATGTTTTGGCCAGTTGCCCATGTATTTTTATAGAAATCAAATCAAACGACTGTATTTTTCTTTGGAATTTAGGGTTGTGCCACTATAATTTAATATAATTGCTAGCCCTACCATTAGAAGGACCTTCTTCTCTGTGATTTATTTATTTAAAACATCAAGAGGAGAATTCAGTAAGCCTGGAGGTTTCCATTTGTTTCTAAATTGATCAAAACAGTAGAAATTGCGTTCTTGGATGGTGGCCTGTTCTGGCTTGCTTACTTTTTATCTGTGCAACTGTTAAAAACAATCAGTCTCCTGATACTCTTTTGTCCTTTTAGATAGGTTCCACAAGAAAAGCTTATGGAGACTCAGGTTTCCAGGTAGAAGAGATCAGCACTTCCCTCTTCATTTTCCTTCCTTGAAAAGTTGTAAAGAGCAATGAATTCTCCTCTTAGCCTCCTTTTCTCCAAGCTAGACAAACCAAGTGTCCTCAGAGCTCTCCAAACAGAATGTGTTCCACCCTTTTTACCAGCTTTGTTGCCCTCCTCTGGACGCATTCAAATATCTTAATATCATTTTTATATTGTGGAGACCAGAACTGTCCACAATATTTAAGGTGAGGCTGCACCAAAGCTGAATATAGCAGAAGAATCCCCTCTTTTGAGCAGTTAGCTATTCAGGGTTTTATGCACCCCAAACATGATTTGCCTTCTTGGCTGCCAGGGCACATTGCTGGCTCAAGGTGAGTCTGCTGTCAGCCAGCACCCCCAGGTCCCTTTCTGCTGAGCCACTTTCTCTAGCCACTCCTCTCCCCATCTGTACTTTGTCCACCATTTCTCCGTCACAGGTGCAGCACCTGGCATTTGCCCTTCTTGAATTTCATGTCATTGCTTATTGCCCAATGCTCCAGTCTGTCTAGATTCCTCTGTGAGGCTCTCAGCCCTCCAGAAAGTTAACAGCACCTTCCAGTTTAGCATCAACTTGCAAAGCTGCTAAGGATGCATCTTAACTCCTGTGTCCAAATCATTGATAAAAATATTACACAGAATCAGCCCTAGAATTGAGCCCCGGGGAATACTGCTAGTGAACAGATAGTTTCATCTGACTGATAAGGTAAATGAGGAAACTGTTATTTATATACTGTTTTGCATACACCTCCTGTTCCCCTTTTCCTTCTTTCCCTGGCTGAAAGTGAATTTACTTTGAATCTGAGAGAGGAAAGAATATTCCAATAAATTTCCAGAATACAGACATACACACCTATGCAAAAAGAGGAAACGGGGGGGGTGGGGAGGGGTTGAAAGTAGTTTGGTATGGTAAAATTGGAGGAGGGAGTGGAGGGGACAGAGGGACAGGTGATGATGACATAGTCCTTTAGTTTGAACAAACACTTCAGCAGCATCCCCCTCCTCAATCTATTAGAAGTATGCAATAGCTATTACTTATCATCTATATATCGATAGTAGATAAGGTGGTTTTGGAACACAGATGCTGCCAGTTACAGAAATATATATGAACTGTCCTGCTTACTTAATTACCCTTGCCCTTCAGTATATAGCTTCCTGCTGGAATCAGGATGGGGATCCAGTGGAGCTTCTGAAGATTGCAGATAAAGTCTCTCGGTTCAGGCAGTGCCTCAGAGAAAATCCCACATTTCTTCAAGAAAAAGTTAAAAAGTATTTTAAGGTAGGAAAACTTGCAGGAAAATATCTGCAGTATTGATTTTTGAATCACGATTTTGTATTTAAAATTAATTTGAAGGGATCTGAGTTGTTCATACTGTCTATTTTTAGATGTAGATGAACAGCAGCACTTTTGAATAAAGCATGTTCATTTTAAATAGTTGAAGTGAAAACTTTTTAAAACTGGAAAAATTGGCCATTGGACGTTTGGAAACACACACATTAGAACACTGAGAAAATACTAATGTTTTAATGTTTAAAATACTGTGATGCCTGATGTTATAGAAAGACACATGAGTCTTTCCTAATGAGAAACTAAGATGTGGACAGCAGTGTGGACCTAGTAATGTTCACCGACTGCTGTGTGAATTTTGCTGCCAGCACTAATTTCTTTTTGCTCTATTTTCTTGTTTTCCTATCTATATGTTCTACTAGAGTAGAGTGCTTTTAGATTTAAGGACGGTAAAGGTATTATGACATTGGATACTTCTGAATCCTTGCATTAGCTAATGGCAGAACAAAAAAAAATCCAGCGATAGCAGTGCAAAAGTGTCTTCTGTTGTTTTTGTTGGTGGTTTTGTTTTGTTTTGCTTAAATTCTTTGGGTTGTTTTGAAGGACACATCTATTATATGGAACTGCCAACCTGATTTACTAGTGAGTGAATGGTGGTTTGCATATACTCAAAGGCAACAGGACATGGTGGCATCAGTTGAAATCTGATTTCCTAAAGGCATAATTAGTGTCTAGAAGTAGTAGGAAGCTATTAAGCTTTTGGCTTTTGTATTAAGAAATATGGGCATGGTATTTTTAAGAATGCCCTTTACTATGCAGTTCTGCTGAGGGGCCTAAGACAAAAGCACGACTCCTCAGGAAGTAATGAGGATAGTTGGGTGTTCTGATATCCAAAGATTATGTACTTTATATTACACGCTGTGCCTGGAGATTAATAAAGCAGGAACGCTGTGAGCAAAAGAGATGCTGTTCATCCTATCCATTCAACTGTGCTTAGTTGATTTTTGCATTTCACTCTCTAACTTTGTAGTCAGTCATGTTTCCTTAGTATTTCCATATAAGCACAGGGGAGATAAGCTCATAAAACAGAGAATCCGATTACATTGTCCCAAATTATTGGCAGTGAATCTCTATGACAGATGTTGCTATTTGACTCCTACTTTTAAATGGACATTTTTGAGGTCACTGTCTCTTGAATAGCCTCCCATTATTCTCTAAAATGGAAGGTGATTGAGTAATTTTGTGATTAAAATTCCACAATACAATATAAACAAAAAGAAATTCACCAACAGTTCTAATACTTGCATAATGCATGGAGTTCTCTAGCAGCAAGACTGATGTAAACCATTTCTGAGCAGGATAAGGCATGCCCCTTTTACATCATATGGGATTTCTGTGCACTCAAGCTTGGGCAGGTTGAATGAGGTGTTTAATGAAACCCTGCTGTATTTAACTAGATTCCCAATCTTAGAACATTCTCCAGATATAACTTCTGGCATACTGCTCTGTAGCCTTATATGCAGTTGTTTAACCTTGATTTAATTAAACTAGTAAGTACTGTGTGTTGTTAAGGGAATCTGACTCCACACTGAAATTTCACAGAAGGTTGTTCATGCTTGTTCATGTGGTAAACTGTCTCTCTTCCCCACCCTAGCAGCAGACTGCTGTTCATTAATTGAGAAGTTTAAATTGCCTATTTGTGATACTTTTGATAATACATAAACCAAATGATGCGTATCTTTTCTACTTCTGATGAAGCAATAATCTGAGGCAAAACAGGTGAAAGTAGCCCTCAGAATTAATAATGCTTTGTTTTGGGATACATTTCTGCAGGATAATCCACATAGATTGACTCTGTCAATGAGTCCAGAAGAAGACTACTATGATAAACAAGCAAAACTGGAAGCAGAAAAACTGAAAAAGAAGGTCAATGCTCTTTCTGAAGAAGAAAAAAAGCAAATCTTTGAAAAAGGTTAACATGCTTTTTCATCTTTTTGTTTGGGTAACTGTTTAAGAACACAACCTTTTTTTTTTTTTTAATGTTCTGTAAAATGCCTGAAATTCTTAGATATATCAGGCATAACCCAGCATTTGTTCTGAAAAGGATGGTATTTTTTCGTTGGTGGTGGAGGTTGGAAGCTTGTGTGTATGTGTTATGAGGCTATACAGTTTACTGGTCATTCTAAATTATATTATGGTTATACTCCATTAGTTCTAACACTCAGAAAACAGAATGATCAAAGTCTCCAGTAGGACAGAAGAAAGGAAATTATTTAAAAATATTAACCTGGTTCTTTCGTATGTTAGCTGCACTAAGTACAAGATGTATGCCGTGATTTATCTTAAAGCTCTTTATTTTTGAGTGTATGATGTTTGTTCCATGCTCCTATAAGATTTACATTTTGTAACTGTACTCTTTTCCATGTAAAGAGATAACTATAGCAATAGCTTTTGACTTCCTCTGAGGAATAACTTAAACTTGGAAATATGGAACAGTTACGTCATTTTGTAAAAACTATGTTCTAGTCACAGAGATTGTGTAGAAGAAAGGTGGAGTTAATGTTTAGAAGCAGTGTTACTGGGAGGGGGAATAAGGGAGCAAACTTCTTTCAGAAGAGGTCTCCTTCTTACAAAGGTAAGTTTGAGGCTACTTACAGGCAGCCAGCTAGTATCTGAAAGAGGATGAAAGTTGTGAAAACACAACTTAGGTGCATTGGTGTACAGACTGAGAACTTAAGATTTTTAGTCGGTTAGATTTTTACTGCAAGGTCTCTGTTGCCTGGGTGGTGTCTACAGAGCTGGACAACAGGGCAGGCTGGCAAATATCACTTCTTTAGGGTTTTAATTACATGTAAACAGGATGCAAAAGGAGATGGAGGGGCTGGAAAGAGGATTTACAAAGGTACACTGTTCTGTTCGCTGATATATGATAATATTCAGAATTTTTCAATACAGTGTTTGAAAGAAGAGTTGATATAAAATGCTGAACTTCAAACTCTTACGTTTTTCTGATCTGCATCATCTCAGTAGGTTTTGACAGCATTTTCACTAGAAGGTAAAAGTTACAAACACCAGTATTCTGCTTTCTTTATTAGGTTTGGAATTAATTGATCTTCAAAGTAAACCTCAGGATACCTCTTGTCTCCCAGCTCTAAAAGTGTCTGACATTGAACCCAAAATCCCATTCACTGTGCTGGAGACAACACTCACAGGTTGGTATATTTTGTCCTGAAAAGAACATTTGTATTGTTATCTGGCTACTTGCCAAGTTGTTCCTCTTCTTTGCTCTTTAAGAAATGTGTGTACCTGCTAAGCTGTAAACAAACACTAAACAGGAGTAGTTTGTGGAGAAGGAAAAGTCAGTCATTTTGGCCTGAATTGTTTGTTTTTGCTAGTTTGTCAAAGTTGAGCTAAATATGATATCCAAAACAAACTGTGATAACACTGTGAGCCCTGACAACCTAGCTCCTGGCTTTGTTGTCAGTGTTAGCTTGCCAAAGCCAAGCTTCCAGACTCTAAGGCTGTCTTTTTTATTAGGTTTCAGAGCTATACTGGAGTAAAGTTTTAAACACAGAGTACCTAGAATCCTTTGAGTGAGATTAATAAAAAAATAAAATAAAATCTGAAAGTGAATCCCACTTTACTGCCCATAGCTTTTCATCTAGTCCATCTCCTTTTCATCTAGTCCACCACCTGGGCAGTACACAGTTTGCAGTGATCTGCAGAAAATTCTTGCCATCACCTCTGAGGGGTGATGTGGGGCTGTTTCCAGCTGCAGTTCAGCTGCCTGCTCTTCAGTAGGAGTTTGGCAGTAACACTCCTGATGCAAGCTCCCTGCCTTCTGCTTTCTCATTGCCTTGCCTGCCCTGCCCTGCAGTTAGAAAAGTCACTAGGTGGTATGCTCAATTACTCTTGAGCAATCCCCTTGCTTTCCGAGACTTCAGCTTGTTACAGGGTGCAGCTCTCCTGGCAATGTGTGCATCAAGCCTTTGGTAGTGTCTGCTTTCCCTCCCTCCCTATTTTTACAGAATATGGTGTGTAGGAGCCATGAAGAAAAAAATGGTCATCCATCATAACATCATTGACAGTCTGCTCTAGTTTTGCCAAGGCTGTCCTGTGAGTTGATAGGAAACAAGAAATTTTAGATCTCAATTTTGTTATGGTTCTGTCAAAATCTTGCAGGTAATATTGCTCTACATTATATTTTTAACAGATAATTTTCTGCTAAAATTAGCAGCAAGTGTCAAGTGCTGCATAATTCTGATGCTGAAATGACCTATTTTGTGAAAATCCTAATGTGTATTCCCAGTACCCATTATTACCCAAAGTTAGAATAGAATGTACAGTTCAGGAACTGTTTTTCCTCAACTTTTGAAGTGATGAAGGTGAAAATATGGGAGGAAAAACTACTTGAGCTGTTCAGAAACAAATTACCATTCCATTATTTGAATATTACCTCTAAAATGCATACTCTGTCAACAGAATTCTCATTAAATTGTCCAGATATCCTTTACTTTACCATGGGCAGAAACAAACAAACAAAACCAACAATCCTTCAGTCCATCATACAGTGCAATTTTTGAAGTTTAAATAAGTGGCTCTGAAGTTACAGAAAGTAACTCTGACAAGAAATGCTTTTGTTTTTCAGAAGGAAACTGTTGGTTGTTCTTTTCTTGTTTTTTGATCCCTAGCTGATGAAGTTCCTGTCCAGTACTGTGCTCAGCCAACCAATGGTGTGGTATATTTTAGAGCTGTTTCCAGCTTGAACACTCTTCCTGAGGAGCTCAAACCATATGTGCCGCTGTTCTGCAATGTCATTACAAAGTGAGAGGTTTACTTTGCTAGAAGCTAAAGCAGTAAGATGTAATACAACTTACTGAAATAATACTTCTTTTAATAATTGAAGTAGTTGTCCTTTTAGGAAGGAGGTGCTGGTAAGTTGGTGTGCTGCTGAAACAATGGTTCTTTCCTCTCTCCACTGAGTTGCCATCTACTTTGCCCTTTTCCTTTAGTCTCTGCTTTGCCTTGTTCCCTAGTGTCAACACAAGCATTCCCCAGATAGATTGGAAACTTGATCTAAATGAAAAATAGCCCAGGAGAAATTGAAGTTTTCACTTTTTGGGGGGGTGTAGCGTCACAGTGGTCACAGAAACACTGACCGTATCATAGGAGCAAGAGTGGCACAGGGTAGATGAAGTGACATGGACCAGAAGGAATCTGTTTTTTGTTTTTGGTGGTGATACCGGCTTATGTGATGTTGCTACTCTAGTTCAGCATGGATGTTGGGTGAACAGTGTTGGGGTGTTGTGAAGTCTGTACATAAAGCACACTTACTACGCCATTTTGAAATAGCAGTGGGTTTTAGCTAAAGAGTTTGTTGTATTACTTCTTATTTTTTAATATAAATTGCAAAGTATTATGTTTGTTTGATAATGCCCCAAATTACTTACTTGCTAAATTTGTATTGGCCTAAGCAGTATCCTTTGCATTTGGTATATGAGTTGTGGTTTTGCCATTTAATGAAAATAGAAGTAAATCTCTGATTATTTTTCACAGGATGGGTTGTGGAGCCCTTGATTACAGGGAACAGGCCCAGAAAATAGAGCTTAAAACAGGTGGGATGTCTGTCAGCCCACATATCATTCCAGATGATTCACACCTGGATGTGTATGAACAGGTAAATTAATCATAAACATCATGATGTTAAATTACAATAACAGCTCTGTAGTTAAGGGTCAATCACGGCATCCAGTAGAGGGTCAGCTAATGTGCATTGAAAGCAGTGTATAAAAGGGCTTGTACCTTTTTGTGTAAAATATACAGTTGACAATTACAGTATCAATATTTTGTGTTAAGGGAAGTGTTTGCAGTTATCTCTTTTAAGATAGTGTTTCACTAGCTTTTGTCAACATGTTTCTGAATGCTGCAAAAAACTTTGGAAACAAAGCGCAGAGGAGAGAAAGGCATAGTATTGCACATAGAGATTGCTGTCAATGTGTGTATGTCACAATCCTGAATGTTTTCAGTATTGTCAGATCTTAGTATTGGGCATAAAAGTTTTAGCAACGTCTCTTAAGATTTTTCAGACTTGCTAGGGTCTATTTCCTGTAGCTTGCTCCCTATGGATTGTGAAGTTGAGTTAGGGGGGGATCCTTTGCAGAAAGATTCATCCCCAGAATAGTTTTACCTGTACTTTGTGGAAAAATAAAGTCTGTTTCTGAACTGCTGCTTACTCTTGAAAAAGAGTAATTGACAGGCTTGTTTTGTGTGAAGATCAGTCATATTTCATGATTTTAGTAGCACAGCCTGTATTAAAGTCGTTTTATGTTGTGAAACATTGGTTGGTACCACTGCATCACTTCAATTAAAAAGTTCTTGTGCATTACTTGTTCCATTGCTGAAGTTTTTTTTCCTGTATGTGTTTCTTTTTTTCCTTCAGGGTGTGCTCTTTTCATCTCTGTGCTTGGACAGAAACCTGCCAGACATGATGAATTTATGGAGTGAAATATTTAACAAGTACTGTACATTGGGTTTCCTTTTTTTCTCCCTTGTGTGTTTGGGGTTTTCTTTTTATTTACCTCTCCTTCCCCAGCCATTCTCAACTTCTTAGAGATTCTACTGTGAGATTTGCTTTCATGACTGTATGTTTGAGTGGCTTCTACTTTCTAAATTACAGATTCACAGACTAGCTTATGTTGGAAGGGACCTCTGGAGACCATCTGTTCTAACCCCCCTGATTAAGCAGGGCCACCTAGAGCAGGTTGCTCAGGACCACGTCCAGACAGCAAATCTAAGCATGTCATCCTTTGTATGACTATGTAGTGGATTAATTGGAAAAATGGTGGTCTAAAAGCTCTTTGTTGAACTTGGGATAATGAACGAATGAGTCAGCATTGTGAAAACACATTGGCGCGGTTTCTCCTGAGATGTAGAGAACTCCTTCTACTCTTTTTCAGCCCGCGATTTGAGGAGGAAGAACACTTCAGAGTGCTGGTTAAGAAGACTGCCCAGGAACTGTCAAATGGGATTCCAGATTGTGGGCATTTGTATGCCTCTATTAGAGCCAGCAAAAACCTTACACCTTCTGGAGAACTGCAAGAAATGTTTAGTGGGATGGATCAGGTGAAAAATTAATGTCGTCTTTTAGTGAGGCCCAAATCCTCCACTTTGGAATTAGAGTGCTAAATTTTTGCTGGTTCTTTCTAAGTGGCTTCATCTGTAGTCTTTCTGCCTTCCTGCACAGGTGAAGTTGATGAAGAGAATAGCAGAAATGCCTGATATTAAACCAGTACTACGCAAACTACCACGCATTAAGAAGTATCTATTAAATAGTGACAACATCAGGTGAGTTCCAGCTAAAACAAAAAGGGGCCGTTTGGTTAGAGAGAGGCAATGGCCTATGAAAGGGCATTTCTTAACGTGCTTTCTGGGATGTTGGGGTTTTGTGAAACGGAAAACCCAAGGAATTCATAAAAATGTTTTTAGTCCACATTTTCCTACCTTAAGAACTTGGTGGTAGTTATGGTTTATTTTGTTTGATTTTTAATATGTTTATGAAACTTAAGGCAAATTTCAGATGTAACTGTTGCATCAAAAGTGATTAAACAGTTTGTTGGGTTTTACAGAAATATTCCATCAACATTTCTGCTTTTTTTTTCTTGAAAAGTGCCCAAGATAGAAATACTATTATAGTGTGTTATATCAGTTGAATATAGTTTTTTGTTTTTCTTCCTTACAGAAAATAGTGATGTTTTGAAATCTGCTTTATGTATATATTGGAAAAAGTAAGAGGACGTGTTTAAGTGCTTAGTATCAGAAGCATTAGTTTGAAAAATACTTCCATTTGAGGTGACATCAAATTGCAACATATTGTTTGCAAAAAATAAAATGACGAATAAAGTTACTGAAATACCTGTGCTGTTCAAAACCATGGGACAAAGGAGGTCATTAGTTTCCTTATGAGATGTTCCTATTTTGTAGAATCTGTGTAGTCTTGTCCTGTGCAGAGAGGGAGGTCACAGCTACTGCTGTCATCAATAGTGAAGTTGGTTTGGGGCAAGCAAAGGAACAAAGTAATTTGATTTTTTTTTTTTTGCATGCCAAGTGCTACATTATGAGTATTTTTTTTTTATTTCTGTGATAATGATTATCAGTGATCACAGATCTCACATTCTGACAATTTAACAAAGTATTTAGGAAGACATAGAGGTGCAAATTATATTGGACTATACAAAACCACAAAAACATTACAAAAAAACCAAACTCAATATGTGCTTTTAACAGATGTTCAGTGAATGCAGCACCTCAACAGATATCAGAGGCATCTAAAGAAGTAGAGAAATTTATAAAGGGCATAACTAGAAGTAAAAAAGAGAGAAAACCTGTTCGACCCCATGTGATTGAGGTAGGAAATTACTTCATTTGTGACTAGTGCATCAAATACCGTTGGATTTGATGTTGTGTAAAGACAGTTGTGCAATCAGAAGATCATTCGATCTAAAATATTGTATCCATGCATAGATGTCTGAAGAAATTTGCAAGTCAGCTCTGTGATAAGCTGCTATGTTTCCCCACAGTACCTGTCTTCATCCTATAAAATAGACAACAATAATCCTGTAGATCAGCTGTCAAATGTTACTCTGAGGTGGTTGCTTTTGCGTGGGATGAAGGAAAATAAATTTTTCTGTTCTCTGTCACATAAAACTGTAATTTCTTTTTTAGCTTTACTTGGCATGTTAGCCAAAGGAAAATAGGGAATTGTGCAGTTCCTTAATTGTTTAGGAATCTGTTTCATTATCTGGATGGACATTTGGCACAGAGGGTACTTGGCTCAATCCAGTTGACAAAGGATCTGCTCCGTGAATGTACATCTGTATTAATTTCTGAGACTTGAATAGGCTCCCAGTTCACTACCCATGAAGGAAATAATTGCCTGAAATTTTGGGGGGCTCTTTAATCTCTCTCTTGGTGTCTTTCAGTACCAAATTACTCTTCAAATGAAATTTATTTAGCTTTGAAATACAAATGATCGAGTAGGTTGCTTATGTGTGTGAAGACACATGGGCTGATGGTGGTTTCAAAAGCTTACGCAGGAAGTTCAAGGGAGTAGGGACTGTATTTATTGTAATCTTAGTTTCAATTGTTAAATCACCATTTAATATGAGGGCTGGGTCTCTTGTAGAAATCTTCAGAAGTCAAACCTGTGGGAAGCAAAATGCTTAATTGTTTGCAGATCACAAGGAAACTAATTAACGTAAGTACATTATCGGTTGAGGACAGTGCTACGTGCCCTTCACTTCTACACTCTTACTCTATTGTTTCTCTAAAACATTCATCAAACTTCTTCTTGTTTCTATGTCATCCTTTTTGTTGTCTTCCCTTTGGTTCTGGTTTGAAGATCATTTAGCTGACTTCCTATCTGTGCATGCAGGAAATTCCCGCTTATGCTGTTTCTTACAAGTAACGTTTACAAGATTTTATTTTTACCTTGGTTTCTTTCACGATCAGATCCATGTGGTGTCACTCCCAGTCAGCCCTTTTCCTTCCTCTACTCCCTAAATTATTTTGAATGTGAATAACACCTGATAAAAGAATATCTGTGACAATTAAGTAAAAATGAAAATTTTTATTTGACTATATGGGAGAAACACAACTTGGTGTATCCTGAGCATTGAGCTAAAAGGCAGGGATTGCTCAGCCAAGGTGGTTCTTGCTTACAAGTCCAGCGTGTAGTACTGGGCTGGGCCCAAGCAGCCAGAGATGTGTGAGGGGCTGGGGAGCAGGTTTGTGGAGTTAAGAAACATTTGGGAGCATTGAAATGAAATTTTAAGATTCTGGAGGTGCTTAGGGCTCTGCTTATGCTTAAGTAAGCACACAAGCAGGTGTATGTGTGAAAGAGACAAAGAAGCGAGTGCTGCAGGGACCTGGAGACATGAGAAGGACTGCAAGTTTTGAACTGGGAGAGTCCCCATCCCTGGAGGTATTTCAGAGGCATGTGGACATGGCACTAAGGAACTTGGTTTAGTGATGGGACCTGGTTGGTCACATTGATGGTTTGACTTGATAATCCTGAAGGTCTTTACCAACCTAAATGATTCTGTGATTCTAAGTAGAAGTCAAGTTTATTGTAGGGGATGTGTGAGCAGAAATTCATGTAGCTGCTGCTGCTCATAAAACAGTGAGGGAGGGTGTCTTTTTCTGGATCCAGTTGCAATATCTACAATTGAGTAGAAGGAGTCAGATATGATGGACATAGAAGTGGAGAGTTATGAACGCTTGGTTCAGTCCAAATAAAGACATGTTAAGAAGTAAAGACATGTTATTACCAAAGCTCTTTGGTAATAACACAAGGCATGGACAGCTGAGATGCTGGTGAGCAGCGATGGGTAGCCAATGTACAATATCCACATACTTAAGTTTTCCTAAGGCAGTTGTATTATTGGATTGCTAACGTAGGGGCAAGATGAATGTCACTGATTGCAGTGCAGGTCAAGTGGCAGCTTTACCGTCTGTGTGTTTGGTGGCACTTCATAGTCCTCAGATGGCTAAATTGTCTCCTATCTGCTAACTGTGCCAATAATACATTTTTCTCTTAGGATCCTACTTTCAAACCATGCCAGATGAAGACCCATTTTGTACTTCCTTTCCCAGTGAACTACATTGGGGAATGCATTCGTACAGTTCCCTACACAGCTACAGACTATGCAAGGTAGGAAGCAGAATCAGCAGGGAGCTTTGTATGTGTGTCGGGTAATGCAAAACAAAACAGGACTGCTGAAAATGGAGTGTCAATAAAAAAAAAAAACATGCTTTGTGGTGTGTTTGTGACAAATTCTTTACAGACCAATCTTCATGTTGCTAGGTCCATAAATGCGCTGTTTTGCCAAGTGCTGAGATTAAGTAACTAGGGGTTACTAACCCCTAGCTTCCAAATAACAGCCCTGCTTACCTGGATGTGTCTGAGGTGACAATCCTATTGCACTAACAAAGTTACAGGTAGGAGGCTGCTTTTGTATTTGATTACAGTGACATAAGTGGAATAATCGAGCAATGTTCCAAAGTAGCAACAACTCTTACAATGATGTGACATTGCTCAGCTGTTACTAAATACTGAGTATTGTTATTGTTGTAGATTGGAAGAAGCAGTGCATAGTAAATGGGGATCTTTTTGAACTTCAGAGGCAGTTGAGAATATTACTGTTATCCAGTTCATTTAACATCTTTGCTGTTAATATTTCTCTCATTACAGCCTTCGAATTCTGGCACGGTTGATGACATCTAAATTCCTACATAGAGAAATTAGAGAGAAAGGAGGAGCTTACGGTGGAGGTGCTAAACTTAGCCACAACGGCATATTTACTTTCTACTCCTACAGGTAACAGCATTTGTTCGTGTTCATGTCTGAGGGAACTACTGACTGCACTTGTGTGTATCTTTGTTTGAATTTGTTTTGATTTCACTTAGTCTTGAAAGAGAGATACAACTATGTTGAATCAAAAGAAAGTGATTCAGCACTGATGATGTTGAGATTAATTGCTTAATGTATATCAGTTTTGTTAATAAACCCCTCCTCTGGTTTCTGTCCCTGGGAACGTCTAACTTATCTCTGCTGGTAGCAACCATTGTTGTGTCTGTGTACCAGGTTTATGTAAGACTGGTTTTCATTTATTTCCTCATGAGTTAAGGATGTCCTTCATATTTATTTATTTATTTATTTTAAATAAATAAGAAAATACAAGGAGAAAAAAAAATGAGATTTTGTTATGTTTGAGACCATGGAGTAGAAATGATGCTGTTTCCTAATGCCCTGGTTTTGAAAATACACAGCTTGGCAGTGTCTGGAAACACCAGAGATTCAGCAGAAAGAAAGCATTGCTGGTGATGAGCTAGAATGGAGAAAGTCTCTTTTTTTATGCTTTTTGTTGTCAAGTCTGGAACAGTTAACCAGCTTCGGTCTTACCAAACTACTTTCAGATGAAATTTAAATTGAAAGCATTAAAGACTAGTTATAAAATCCCCCCTGGAAATGTCATAGAGTCCTGGCTTAAATAATTTTCCTAGACCAAAGGTAGTCCATCACAGTACTTGGACAGTATTCCTGCCTAAAATCTGAGCAGTGTTGTGCCTCTGCGAAGTTTCAACGTGGTGGGACTTGTCCTGGTTAGTATTTCAGTAGTTGTCAACCTGTTGCACTTGTTTTACAGAGAGCAAAAAGAGGTGTAGCAGGAAGAGCAACTTAGAGAAGATAAGGTGGTATACCATAAATATTACTGTTGTTGATATTAATGGAAGTTAATGCTTATTAAGTTGCAACAGTGAATTGATAGTGCATTATAAACACTGTTGGCTTACTATCTTTTGAATACCACTTCTCTGCACACTGCCTTGAAACTACTTACAGGCAAGTGAACTTGCTGCACTTGTGTGTTTGAAAATTCAAAAAATGTCTGGTTTGTTGTAATACTTGCTTCCTCTAATAAAAAATCTCATAAACAAAAAGTAGGTTTCTCATTTGATGTAATCCACATGTATCTATGTTTGTGTAATGAATAGTAAACTCTAAATTAAGAACAAAATAATTACAGTATTTCACTTTGTAAGACTGAAGCCCTTAATTTTTACCTTTTTTTTTTTTTTTCTTTAAGAGACCCAAATTCATTAGCCACCTTGAAAACATTTGAAAGAGCAGTTGAATGGGCCAAATCTGGAGAATTCACACAACAAGATATCGATGAAGCTAAGTTAGCAGTATTTGCTGCTGTAGATGCACCAATAGCTCCTTCAGATAAAGGTACGTTCTTAAGTTTTAAAGGAGAGAAAACAGTTAATTTGCTAAACTGAATCATATGTTAAAATTTGTACTTGGCAGATGTAAGACAACTGTGGTTTCAACAAAATACTCAGTTCCTGTTATTCTCTTTTCAGAAATAGCATACATTCAGTCTCTCCACTGAAGTATTCGTATTCATGCTTGTCCTTGATGTCAGGGGAATACAGTTAGAACATGGAGGTATATTACAGAAACAAATTTAGGCTTGGAAAGGGAGTCAGATGCTAGCAAGCAAAAAATTAAATATTTTGTCTTTTGATTAAAAAAAAAAAAAAAATTAAGAATTATTTTCCTGACACAATTGTACATTTTGACTACAAATGTGTAACCGTCTGTGCATGCTTTTTTTTTTTTTTTAAATAAATTAGAGCATAGCAATACCACAGTGGAGGGTGTTACCTTCTTTACATATCTGCACGCATATCACAGTTGGTAGTATCTTCACATCTTCTTTTTAGTTTGCCTACATGTTGCATTGCTTTCCTCACTTTTCCCTTCCTTCCCCAAGTCTCAGCTTAAATTCAATTCAAAACTTGCTAATTTAAAATACATTCCTTTCCTTTAAGTAATTATAGGAATAAAATTAATGTTATTTTAATATGTATTTGTATTAACACTAGTTTGTTAAATAACACTTGAAAACGTGTTGAAAAGCTGATTTCGTGTTCTTTGAAATGAATTTGGTTTTGGCCTGGGCAATTTAATTTTAAAGAAAAAAGTAATTATTTTTAGGTGCAGATATGAGTGAAATGAACACATATTGAATGTTGTAATTTGTGAGAGCAGTGATTTAATTTTAACATGTGCTGTAGCAGCTGTGACAAATTTAGTGAAGAACATTGTTCCATAGACCTAGGATCTGTTGCAGAGACAAATAGCTATCCCTTAATACTACCGTTATTTATTAGGTCCTGCATAGGGTCTTCAACAACCTTATCTCATTTTATCCTGCCTTTGGCAGAAGTTTGGATGAGTTAGCTGTCTCCAGATGTCTTCCCCACCTACTCTTTTTTTCTGTAATTATTTTCATGTTTAAAATCTTTGCTATGGTTATTCTGGAGTTCTCTGGTTATAGCTCCGTGCATAACATTCATGTTAATATTGATGCTAAAATACTGTAGGTAAGTATTCCAACAAAAGCAATAAATATTTGTATGCAGACTTCTTTCTGTATGTAGCTTGATCAAAAGAAGGTGATTAAACCGTTGTCTTGGCATGTATATTACAGCTGATTGAAAATTTTAAGAGGTTGTTCATACAAGCTGCATGAAATCCAGTTTGGCTAAAATATTTTAGAAAGTATTGAGACTTTTTAGAATGAATCTTGTTAGCATGTTTTGTTTTGCATTGGTTTATTTCTTTAGGTTTTCTGGATCCCAATTACATTTAGGTTTTTGGCAAACTTGCCAGACTATAATACAAATTCTAAATAGCGAACTCCTACTACCTCAGAAAAATAAACTTATTTACTCAATTCTAACTTTTGACATTTGATTGACAATTAATTTGTCTCAGAACAATGGTCAAACTTCTTCCCTTCCAGTACATCACTGCAGTATGTGGCTTTTTTGTTTGTTTTAGGTATGGATCATTTCTTATATGGGATTTCAGATGAAATGAAGCAGTCACACAGAGAGCAGCTTTTTGCTGTCAACAGTGATAACCTGGTTGATGTATCAAACAAGTAAGTCTATGCTCAACTTCAGAGAAAAAAAGATGCTTGAAAAACTGAACAAATCAGAGAAGTTTGTTAAAGTTACCATAATTAAGTTCTTGAATTTCCTTGGTCTTCTGTACTACTTCCACTATTTGTTTTTGTAACCTTAGAGAGATGTTAATTATATTCTGATCATTGAATTTTAGCAGATGTAATTCACCTACAACTTCAGAATGTAGGAGGGATTATTTTACTTTTCAAAAGCCTGGAAAGGGCCTGAAGAAAGAGTACACTCAGACTTCCAGCTCCTGGCTAAAGGAGCTGGTTCTTCTGGACTCCTAACATAGTGTACTTCTTTGGACTTCTGACTTGCACTTTAGAGTTAAAAATTTCACACAGAAGAAGATACGTGTAAGCGGATTAGGCTAGTTATGGCCAGATGCTATTGACTGTTGTACCATCATTAATGAGGGGAAAAAATGTAAATCCAAAAGATGTTATAAAAGCAAACAATAACAATAGGTGCATATCAGACAGCACTTTTTCCTGAAATTAGTCTTTTTAATTGTGTAACATAGTTACAGATAACCAAACGCATTAACTTTTCTTTTATTTCTTTTTGCAGGTATCTTGCAGTTGGGAAGAGCACGCGGGGTCTGGCGGTACTTGGCCCAGAAAATGCAGATATTACCAAAGATCCCTCATGGGTCAAACGATGAATTGCTGCTGAACATCCAGGCTCATTTAAAACAACCAATCTTTGTGACTAAATTAATTATTTTTTTATATTAACTTTTAACTGGCCCATGGTCCAACTTAAATGTTCATTGCTGCTTCTAACAATACGCAACAAACCAGTTAAAACCATGTTGTCAAATCTTCTAACCACACAGTATTTGAGAGCAAGAATTATTTGCTCTGTTAGGACAAAGACCATAATATTTTACTCAAGAGACTCATATGGATACTATATAAATTAAATATTTTTGTATATGTAGAACTCCAGAGATTTAAATGGTATTTGTTTGAAATCATGTCTGCTGTTGGATATATAAAAAATTTTAAAAAATGAAAAAGAAGTCTCTCAAACTACAGCTTCCATTCTTTGGTATGCTAATTCCAGCTGCCTTTGCTGGAATTAATTCCTTTGTAGGTGGAATAACCACCTATAGCTAGAAGAGCTTTTGACAGTGCCTTCCACCTCACAGCAAGTTTGTAGTGAATGGCAGTGTAGTGGGCAAATCACTAATGAGTCTGTGTACAGTGCAGATTTTAATCTTGTTTATTTGGGGAACATTCAGTCAACTTTTGGTATGAAATGGTTTAGTACTTTTTTGGTCATTATCTAGTTAACAAATCAGCATAAGAAAAGAGTTTGGTTTAATTTTAAAATTAGGTTAACAAATAAGGTTATTTCTACCCTTTGCCCTCATTATGAAGAGTTTCTATAGCCTTAACAAAGGTAAGAGAAAAGAAACATGAAACAAGTAAAAGTAGAACAGTTGCTTTTTTTTCCCCCCTTCACTAGATAGGGAATTAAGACTGGTGCTTGTTTTCCTTCATTAGTCTGTAAAGAATCCTTCATGAAGGATTTTTGCTGTTTGTGGTTAGAAGCAGGTGAATATGTTTTGACACATCAGACTTAAGATGTTTGCAACAGTACTTTATTTCACTTCAGATACATTAAGCACATCCTGTAACTCAACATAAAACTAGCCATCTACACTTATTTTTGGGTGTAAGTACTCTGAAACGAAGTGCAGTAGGTGAGTAACTTACAGAGTGCATAGAACAGTGTTGCACTTTTTTGTTAAAGGATAGTATGAGTAAAATAGTGCTTATTCCTTAGATGCTGGGATTTGTTTCAAACGTAACACAAATATAGGACAAAATTCGTGTGACGTGACTGTCTTGTTTCACATAAAGTGCTGGTACAATAACTTAAATGTTACAAAACAAAGCTGTAACGATTCTAAAGCATTGTTACTCACAATGTGCATCTATGACAACAATCTAAAAATGATCTCTTTAGATGGCTCCGGTTTCTGCTTCCTTTGGGCTGTGCATAGCAACATGCTCCAGCTGGCCTGAATCTGAAACATCATAGCTGGTCTTGTATTTGGCCAGGATTTTCATCAGTGGTCTCAGCTTCAGCCACCATTGCTCCATGGGAATCCTATGTCTGTGGTGTGGCGGAAGGAAAAAAAAAATACTTACTTAGTAGCCATGGCAAACAATGTGTAGCTCATTTGAGAACACTAACATTAATACTCTAACAAAGAGGATCAAATATTGCTATTTATTGGGTTGCATTGGGTTGGTGCATATAAGCAATAAGTATTATATGCACCAACCCAAAATGGGAAGAAACAACAACAGAACACTGAAGAAAAAAATTGGATTTTACTGGATAGTTTTTCATAGATAAAATGCCATCTAAGGCACAAAAACACCACTCTACTCTTCTATTACATTTTATCAGAAGTAAACCAATTCCAGACATTAGAGCAAAGATGAAAAAAAAGACAGTGGGCTCCCAGAATTCATAGAAGAGAACTTCATAAAGTATAAGGACTAGAAAGCATAAAGGGAGTTGTTCAAAAAGACAAGTGAACAATCACAGTGAATCACTGGCTGAATATAGGCCAGAGACAGAAGCACAATAAAACAGTTGGCAAATGCTGTGTGTCAGCACCATGAAGAAGATGTTCATTTGATGTGGTGAAAGAAAGCCTGTGCTGAGATGTTTAAAATGTAAGCAGCATATACATACACAAAGTCTGTTTCATTCTTCAGCTCAGCCACTGGTTGGAAAACAAGGTTGCGTCTACGCATTCCCAGCAGACAGACTGAGTCATCAGTATTGGCAAATACTTTTCCTAAAAAGAATGAAATAATTCAAGATTTTTTTATTCACATTTGTATGGCCAAATACCCTTGTTCTGTAATTAAAGTGAATGGGGTGCTTAATTTCAGTTACTGAACATTTAACATAACATTAAAACATCAATTAGTACTTTAATAGGGTTAGGAAATCTTCACTTTTTACATTTAGCTTTGATGATTAGCCATGAAAACAGTGTAATTAATCAACAAGACTGAATTTTAACATCCAGTTTTAAATTAGATTTTAGTAAATAGTGTTTTATAAAAATTCCCAAAGAAGACATATTACCTTCTTCTGTCTCCCATGTAGCCATCATGAAACAAAAAGGAAGAACAGATGTAACTTAGGTAGTCATCAATTCCTTCATGCATAATAAACTGCAATCATACTAGCATTTTTTAAAGGCAGGTAAGAAAATAGCTATCTAAAATACTGACCTCACTTGAGGGATAATATAGCAGGAAGCATAGCAAGACGTTACTGAGTAAGATGGAAAGAGGTATGTTGACTAAACCTATCATGCATTCATGTGTTTGTGTATGGCAGTAGTCATATACTAATATCTAACTGAAGGCAGTAAAACGAGAGATAGGACCAAGTGTTTCTGCACCTTTCCTGTAGGTTTCTTTCAGCTTTTTGGAGATCCACTGCATAGCTTTTGCAGAAATTTTTGTCCCAAAGTTTCTATCAAATGGCGAAGGCGCACCACCCTGTGTGGAAATTTAACTGCGGGTTAATTCAGTTATCGAGTCAGTATTTGTCTTCTTATTTTACTAGTTTAATGGCCTGCTCACATCTCCCCCACTTTAAACAAACAAACCAACCTACCACATAAAACAAGATAAAACACTTAAAATTTGTGTTAAGCCAGTGTAGAATTCTCACTGAATCAATACTACTTTTCACTTAAGGTAAACAAAGGCCACTGATTTCCCTTTCCTCCATTTTCCCTCAGTGCTGATCATAAAGCACCGCCTAGCTCTCACACTGCACTGGGCAACCCAGTTTCAGCATAATATAAAACAGGAAACAGTTGAAGAAGGTGTCAGAATGAGTGTAAGAAACTTAAGTGCTGACTGTAATCTAGGAAGTTGGGGAAGCACAACTCTATTGCAGCTAGAACAAGGAAGGCTAGAATGTTGTGTACATAAAACTAGGATGAAACAACTGGGTTGGGAATTTTTAAAATAGTACATTTTTTAATTAATATTATTTTTTATGGCTGCTTTCATTCAAAAGTATTAAAACAGCCTTTATACGACTCTGGGAACGACGTTATATTTTTTAAGCTGTCTATATATGAAGTCTGATTTTTGTGTTCATTTTCAGTGCAACAGATGGAACTGAAATCATTGAACTATTCAGAACAACTTCACAAACAGTAGATCATTTCATCAATGCTGCTCTTGACCTTAAAAATAAATTGTTAAATTTTATGCAGAAAGTGCCAATCTCCGTGTTGAAGAATCTAAAAATAAGTAATGGTAAAAGGACTATGCATACAAGTTTAAATGACTTAATGTGAACAAGAGTTATTTCACTACTAGCACTTGAGAAATTTAGCTCTACGTGTGTTTTTACCTGTACCTCAGTCTTGGTAATTACCATAGCCAAATTAGAAACTTATTATCTGCCCACTAACAATCAGCATAATGAGTTAAAAAGAGGGAAGCTACAGAGACCACAAGGAGAAGCTGAATGCTGTCTCTTCTACCAGAATAATCCATCTGCACATAAAATTCCTTAACCAAATTTCTTCTCTTCCAGAGAGTTCCAAAGCCAGATACATTATGTAAGGGTAGAGATGTATGTTCTAAATATGTATTACAGTAATAATGATAGCTGTAATGTCTATGATTTTTTTTGTTAACATAGACAGAGGGAGAAAAAATAATTATTAAGAAGCTAAAGGTTGTTTTTTTTTTTTCCTACATTTTAAGGAAGGAGCTGCAATAAATTGTGATGCTAACAAACACTTCAGAGCTACCTATGAGCAAAAATCCACACACTTTTTAATTCTGAGTCAGACTTACTTGAAATGCTTGAATAGTGTGGGCCCTTTGTGCATACAGTTAAGCTTGTCTGTAAACTCTAAAGTCATTTTTACCTGCTGCATGTGGCCCAATACATTTTTTCGACAGTCAAACACTCCTTTTCCTTCTTCAGAATACAGCTGATAGATGAAGTCAGTTGTGTAGTTCTCATTGCAGTTCTCATTTCTGTAACAATTCAGGCCAAATACTCATAGCTAATCAACTGTTAAGTAGTCAATGTCTTTACAGATACTGAATGACAAACATCTTCCCAGTTTCTTGATAGCAGCGGTCACTGCTTGGATAATTTCATCTAATCCCATAGGTTCACTTTCATGTTTCATGAACGTATTTCATGTAACATATTCATGATTTTAAAACCTGCATTACTTCTAGTATACCAGCATTACTGGCAGGTCAGCTGGAATCCATTATTGAATAAGGTAGCGGAAAATAAAATGTATGTCTGACAACTTAACTATGCAGTGGAAAAACTGCACAAACAGAAGTTATACATACTGGCAGTAATGTCAGTATCTTGCCATTTATAAAAGCATGGATGATGAATAACACCTAGTCTGCTCCTTATCAGTACTTTAAATGTCAAGTATTTTTTCACCCTAATCACCACAAGCAGAAAAATGTAAATAAGTGTAATAGCTTCCTCATACAATTTATTATAGTACTAATTTTTCAGCCCTTTGCTACTCAGCACACTGAAGGTAAATGCTAATGAAAGAGAGAGAGAGAAGCTGCAGACTGATTCAGGATGCCTTAGAATGGATAACTTTAAAACATGTTAAATAACAAGTTTTAAAGTTTTTGGTCTTTGAAAAATGGTTTATCCTGTGTTATCTTGTAAAATCTAAATAGAATTTTTATAGTAAAGGCTGTATGTGTATGCTAGTTTTCACTGTCTTTATTAATAATTACAGTTAAAAATCGTTGAGAAAATAGGCTGAAAAGAGAATCAAGTATTAGATTATAGAACAATTATATTTAGAATCATAGAATCATAGAATATCCTGAGTTGGAAGGGACCCTTAAGGATCATCAAGTCCAACTCTTGACACCGCACAGGTCTACCCAAGTTCAGACCATGTGACTAAGTGCACAGTCCAATCTCTTCTTAAATTCAGTCAGGCTCGGTGCAGTGACCACTTCCCTGGGGAGCCTGTTCCAGTGTGCAACTACTCTCTCTGTGAAGAACCCCTTCCTGATGTCCAGCCTAAACTTCCCCTGCCTCAGCTTAACTCCATTCCCGCGGGTCCTGCCGCTGGTGTTAATGGAGAAAAGGTCTCCTGCCTCTCGACACCCCCTTACGAGGAAGTTGTAGACTGCGATGAGGTCTCCCCTCAGCCTCCTCTTCTCCAGGCTGAACAGGCCCAGTGCCCTCAGCCGTTCCTCATACGTCTTCCCCTCCAGGCCTTTCACCATCTTCGTAGCCCTCCTCTGGACACTCTCCAACAGTTTCATGTCCTTTTTATACTGTGGTGCCCAGAACTGCACACAGTACTCGAGGTGAGGCCGCACCAGCGCAGAGTAGAGCGGGACAATCACCTCCCTTGACCTACTAGCGATGCCATGCTTGATGCACCCCAGGACACGGTTGGCCCTCCTGGCTGCCAGGGCACACTGCCGGCTCATATTCAACTTGTTGTCTACCACGACCCCCAGATCCCTCTCTTCTAGGCCGCTCTCCAGCGTCTCATCACCCAGTCTGTACGTGCAGCCAGGGTTTCCCCGTCCCAGGTGCAGGACCCGGCACTTGCTCTTATTGAACTTCATGCGGTTGGCGATCGCCCAGCTCTCCAACCTATCCAGATCCCTCTGCAAGGCCTTTCCACCCTCATTCGAGTCCACAACTCCTCCAAGTTTGGTGTCATCAGCAAACTTGCTCAAAATGCCTTCTATTCCTACATCCAGATCGTTTATAAAAATATTGAAAAGTACCGGCCCTAAAATGGAGCCTTGAGGGACCCCACTAGTGACCGCCCGCCAGCCTGACGCAGCCCCATTCACCATAACCCTTTGGGCCCTGCCCGTTAGCCAATTGCTCACCCATCGTATGATGTTTTTATTTAGCTGTATGCTGGACATTTTGTCCAGTAGGATCCTATGGGAAACCGTGTCAAA